AGTTTTTTTTAAAGAAAACTGTTTTTAAAAGTACTGATTTGACGGCAAGGTGATCTGAGTGTCTCCCGCCATAACGTTTTCTATGTGCAAAACGTGCTTATGTTTGTATATTTATTACAAAAAAAATGGCGCAATAATCATTAATTGGCAATTTCCTCATTAAATACTACATCAAATACAAAATGAATAGCACCATTAAATTTCTTGTTAAAAACTGGTCATTATGAAGTTATTTTTATTGATTGTCATGTTTTTAGTGATTTTTTTATTTCAAACGTAAACAAAGTGTCTTTGTTTCTAGCTTCTCTGCATGTCGTCTTACATACTCTTATGTTAGGTTGTAATAATTCATACAGTAATATTTCTGAAACTAATTTTAAAGCAAGTAATTATATACCTATGCCACACGATTCTGTCGCGAATATTCCCCGAAATAACTCTACGCTAAGTGATCTTATCACAGTTAGTTCTACAGAGATCACTACACTAAGTGATCCTATAATTGATACTTCCAAGAAACACTTGCCTCACGTGATTCTGTTAGAATTTTAGGACAGACACTTCTGAAATCAACTTTACAATTTACATATCTTGGGGCCCGGCATGGCCAGGTGGTTAGGACGCTCGACTCGCAATCTGCGGTCGCGGGTTCGCATCCACATTTATCAATCTTAGATGCACCAAGATATGTTTGTTTGTTTGTTTTGAATTTCGCCCAAAGCTACACGAGGGCTATCTGCGCTAGCCGTCCCTAATTTAGCAGTGTAAGACTAGAGGGAAGTCAACTAGTCATCACCACCCACCGCCAACTCTTGGGCTACTCTTTCACCAACGAATAGTGGGATTGACTGTCATATTATAACGCCCGCACGGCTGAAAGGGCGAGCATGTTTGGTGGGACCAGTCATTTCAGAAAACAGTTTGGGAAAACGCTTTTTCACTGAAAAGAGATAAATATTTTTTTCCACGTGCAGCTAAAAAGCAGATGACCTTCATGTAACATTTAGCATGGATCACATGGCTGTATTTTTAAAACTAAGTCGATAAAAACTGTAGGTAAAAAAAAACACGTATTATATACTTGAATTATAAAGTTTCACTTTTTTTTAATATAATATCTACAAATATTTTCAAGAAATGTGTGTATGTTTGAATTGAATTTCATTTCCATGCTGATAGCTGTGCAATCCTGAATCAAAACATTCAGACAACACCAAATTACATAGTCAGCCCTTCATCACCTTGTAAATTCCATTTATAAACACACATCACTCGACCATCGTTCGACTTTGTACTATGTTCTATTTCTTTAGAGTGTGTAAGAGAAGACTTCTTTATAACGTTGAACTCCGTGTTAAAAATGATTTTCTTCTTATTTATTCCACGTTTGTTTGCAACTCTGTATTCTTCCTTTCTTTTTCTTTCTTCCTCTTGAAACTAATTTATTTCCCTACATGTTTTCTTACATTCCCTACTCAGGTTTGAGGATGCATTCTATGGCTATAATCTTAATATTCCTAAACATTTCTTCTTAATTTCTGCATCGATAAAAACAGTTAAACAAAACAGATACTAATACCTAACCATGTTTATTTTCGGATATTCACATAAAGCTACTCAGAGCTATCTGCGCTAGTTGTTCTTAATTTTGAGTTGATTAACAAGAGGGAAAGCAGCTAATCAACAACATCTACTATCAGCTGTTGGTTTACTCTTGTTTGACCAAATATGGGATTAAACCGCCATCCTTATACGGCACCTACGACCCCACGTGTACAGCGCCATTTAAAAAAGAGAAATTACATTTGCTGTAATGAGATGCGAAAGTTGGAAGGGCAGGCCCACAGTCTAGGACGTTAACCATGGGGCATGCTCGGCTAAAACATCTTTCTATTTAATAATATCACCATTTTCCTACAGTGGTTACCGTTAGGAAGGTCTCCAAAACTTTGTTTTCTCTCTCTCTAAAAATCATGTTTAATAAAACTGTGAATGCATTTTCCTTGGTCATGTTATTAATGACTTACAATTCTCTTCTTATATTAAATCACTCTTTGAGTACCTCGTTTTTCACGCCCTCTGTTGCAGAATCATGTACATGTAAACTTATGTTAATGTCTACAGATGCCTCTTGTAATATAACATTAAGGTTGTTCTTTCTAATTGATATGTCATTCATAAAGTTTGCGCAAACACATATGTATGGTGTTCTTATACAACCGATGTTCCTGGAAAAATATCGTGAAGTGGTAGCAATTTACAGTAACCTTGACAAACAAATATTGTTAACCACATTAAAAACTACAGTTCACCATTTGACTCAATAGAAAACATAACCTTTGTTTTAAACTTTATCAGTTATTTTCATGACTTTTTGGGTGTTTTTATATCATACAGTTTCACAAACAGACATATAATATATATTCAAGCCGATTACTTTTACAGGTTCCATACCTTTACCGATATTTGATTTTAAAAAAACCTATACAATACACACAGCCATTTAAAACAAATCGTTGTTTGAAAGATCAGAGAATTTTGACATTTCCTAAGTCGTAATACACAAATCATCTCTTTCTTCTATTGCACCATTGCTGGAGAATTAGTCCAAGATATGTTGTGTTGCATTCGCATAAAAAAATTATAAAAAGCATCATGTGCTGATATTGAAATTTGCAGTTAATAAAAAAAAACATTTTCTGTAACTGACAGATCCGATCTGAATTTTCAAAGAGATCAACATTATCTCAAAAATGATATTTTAAGTTATCTTAATAACAAATTTAATATTTTTCATCTTGATTTTTAAGCAGTAAATCTGCACTTGGTACTTACCATTTCGAAATTCGTACAGATCCACCTTAATTCCCCTCTGACCAAAGAAACAGGCATTGAGGGATCCAACCTAGATTAGAAAAACCAAAGAGTGAACAACGGGATTATTAGAGCACTGTCTTTCGACAACAGCTTTTTCTAATAATAGTACATGAATAGCATTAAAATATTAGCAGACAGATAAAATAATATGAGGTTCTACAGCATATATCACAGATGCACGTTAGTAAGAATACACAATTATACTGAAGATACACGTTAGTATACATTCACATATATCCTAAAAATTAACTTGTTAAACATCAACATGGTTAATGAAATGTACGGTACTATACATTTACATATGCCCTAAAATGTGTTTGGTGAAAATGTAATTTAGTAGATATTTACATATGTCCTAAAAATTAACATTGTTAGACATCAACATGGTTGGTGAAATGTACTGTAGTAAACTTTTACATATGTCCTGAAAATACACATTGTTAATCATCAATGTATTTGGTGAAAATGTACTTTAGTAGACATTTACATATGTTCTGTAAGTGTACACTACATAGACGTGTGGTATTCTTAGGTGAAACTGAATTCCTCCCAAATACATGATAGAACATTTTAACAGCAGGAAATTTGGGAAGTAATCGACAACTTAACTAATTCCTCCAGCGTACTGAATAAAGAGACCAGACAAGTTTTCAAGAAAACCAAAACAACCTTTATTATACTAAAAACAAAATAAAAAGCAGTGGCATACTTGCGTAGATAGGATCACGTTCATTATTTACTAGATGGTGTTTAGTTCAATAGTTTCACACTCAAAATAGTCTTTACTCGAAGATCTACTAGAAAAACTGAACTAAGAAAGCTCGTTTGAATTCAACAGGGAAACCGTTCTTTGTCCAGCTCCCAGTAGCACAGCAGTAAGTATGAAGGATTACAACGCAAAAAATCAGGTTTCGATACCCGTTGTGGGCACGAAATAGATAGCCCATTATGTAGCTATTTGAATAACTACAAATAATTCTTTGTCCAGTTGACAGCGTCACCTCGTGACCCTTTTTCACTCATAGCATTTGCTGGTTGTAACATATAGGCATCATTCATTCGGCCAGCAAAGTATATTACAGCAGAAGACCGTTTCATCATGGATGCGTGTGTTATACAATACCTCGTCAGGCAGAATATATATTATCTACTATAGAGAACAAAGAAACAAAGCAAATATAACAAGATAACTTCAGTTGGTGTCCGGACCACGTGTTTATGCCAAAATTTTATAGAAACTAGATTAACGAAATGCAGGTAGAAAACTTACACTATGCTTGCATATCACACAACTACAGATTTGCCAAAAATATACCTTGATGGACATCTACAAAGATAGGTTTTGTGAGGATAAAACCCCTTTTTATATATATCTTCGTTAGCTTATTGTGACATTTCTGTTCTTATTTAGGCTATAAATTATATATATATATATATACACACACAGCGTGGTCACAAGTAAATAGACACCACCTTTTCAGAAAAAAATGAAATTTTTCAGTCATATTCATATGAATTGATATATTTGTAATTTAATTAATATCTAGTAGATCTTCCTTTCGCTTCGTGGAGTTCGTTGATCCTTTGGGTATCGTGAGAATCATCTCGTCAATTTTAGATTGTGGGATTTTCGCCCACTCTTGCTTCAAAACTTGGAGTAGATCGCTCTTCGAAATTGTTTTTTTGGTTGTTTCTTAACTTGCCAGTTGAGTATGGCCCAGAGGTTTTCGATGAGGTTCATGTCAGGAGATTGGCTCGGCCAGGGCAACTTTTGGATACCATTTTCTTCCTGCCACTTTTGGGTGTTTCTAGCAGTGTGACACGGTGGTCCATCTTCCTGGAACAACGTTGTGTTCTCGTCCACGAAACCCGAGGAATAAAGTGGCAAGAGTCCTTCCTTCAATATATCGACGTATTTCGCAAAATTTATGTTGCCAACGCACTCCACTAAGTTCGATATCCCACCAACCCAAACAGCTCCACATACCATCACGCTGAAACCACAATGCTTCACAGTTGGCTGCAATCTGTTG